AAGAAGGCAAAGTACGTAGAGATCTGTTGGACGATGGTCAGTGTGATGTGGCATTTCAGAATGCCAGTGTTTTGGAGCACATCTAGTATCTTTGTCACATGGAATGGCACCCAGCAGATCAGGAATGCCAGGAGAACTGCCAGGATAAGAGTGGTAGCCTTCTGCTCCATTTTCTTAGAGTTTAAACCCTCCATTAGCCTGTTATTCAGTGACTGAAAAATTCTGACAGTGCAGAAGGAAATAATGATAATAGGGATGATGAAGCTGAAAATTATGGTTATCACCTCAGATGCCAGATATTGATTTTGTGGTAAGTCAAGTGAACACTGAGTAAGATTTGACTGAGGTTTGAAATCTAACTTCCTGTAGATGAACACGGGGAGAGCAAAGACCAAGCCAAGACCCCACACAAACAGACATCCCAGTTTGGCGTAAAACGGCCTGCGCATCCTCTCATGGGAAAGCGGGTGCACCAGTGCCACATAACGATCTATGCTAACCAGAACAAGGAAGTAAATACTGCAGAACGCATTCATGTAGATAACAGCTGATGTCACTTTGCACAGGCTTTCACTGAAAGGCCAGTCGTATCTCTTTCTTGCATTTTCAGCCCAGAAGGGCAACCAGCACACCAGAACAAAGTCAGCTCCAGCCAAGTTGCTGAGGTATATCTCAGCCACAGTGCAGGCCTTCTTGTGGAGGCAGAAAACCATCAGCACAAACACATTAAAGATGATTCCAAGCACACTGATGACCAGGATGTAGGGTGGAACCAGAGTGAAGATCAAGCTGTTGTTGTCAACACTACAATGGTTTTCACTTGTGTTGCTTTGGTTTCCAGACATCTTGACAGAGTAAGAGTTGGAATGGATGCTGCAGAAAAACAGAGGACAGCAAATAAAATATAAAATATTATTCTAAAAACAGTTTGATGTGAGAACATTATGTTATTTTGATGGCGCACAGTACAGAGATACACATAATTACGAGTAACACTGATATATAATGCAAAATACTGCTGCTACATTTTAATTTATTTTGCAAAGAATTTGACTCAAAAACACAAAAACTGTGGCTGAGAGAGACCATTAATTCACACTTACAGTCACATTTAAAATCACAGCCTAATTAAAGTCACCAATTAACCCAAAATGTATATGCAAAATTAAGAGATTAATAAATGTTTTGAATAACAAGCGTTCTTGTGTGTTAGTTGAATTTTGATGAGGTGCTTTTGCTTAATCTATCATCAAACCATGGGTGCCACAACCATTGCAACAAGATATTTTTGAATTTTTCCTTCTTCCCCAGAGAAACATCTGTAATAATGTAATTTTTCTATTAAGAAAAATAACCAGCTATTATATTATGTTATTATAGCTATTATAGCTATAATTTTGGCTATTATTCCAACTGATAATACCAGTCTACCTCTATTAAGTACTTATTTGTGTGTCTTTTTCTTTGCTTTTAAACATGTAATGACAAAAAAGAGAATACCTTTCTATTTTACATGCAGAGCCCTTTCCATTATCAGTCACTTAAAGTTCCAACAGTACAATACAAGCGCATCTACGTTTCTAATAACTGATTACTGTTTATCAGGACTGACCTGAGTCACTGATATTTATAGCAACCTCATTTTCTGCATATCCTCACCATCAGTTGCAGCCACATTCTTCCTAAATTAATTCTAAATGCATAAAGATTAAAACAAAAACATAACAAAATACAAACCCTCCTTTTTACATGTGTTTGGAGTTTGTTTCAGCGTAAATCTTCTTAGTGCATTTGGCTTAAGATAATGACTATAACACTAAACATGCAGAGACAATTCCAGTTAATGATCTCCAGTCTATATCGTGACATGTTTACACTGTCAGACATCATGTTTCTAAATCTGTGCTGTTGATAAATATTTTAAGCACAGAGAAAAACACAGACAAGTATAAACCAAGCCAAATAAGGCTCATGCATACCTTTTAGGGAAAAGAGTCTGTTCTCTAGATGGAAAAAAGAACACACCAGCTACACCCTCCCAGTAACTCCAGTTGCAGTTGTTTTCTGACTCTGCCCCACTTGCTCACTTGAAGGAGAAAATAAACTGACATTAAAGTGATGTCAGATGTCTTTGATGATATGAGATGACTCGATGTTTTGCCACCCCCTCCTCCATTCATTCAGCCAATCCTCTACTTTTCCTCGTTCAGTAGCATTATGTGTATCATTGCACTAAATTTACTTAACTGTGTGTGTGTGTGTGTGTACTTTTTAAATTCAGTTTGTAAGTCTGTAGAGATCAGAGCATTAGGTCAGGTGCTCCTGACAACTTACTAAATGTGGTCTCGTGCATTTACAAGCATCATGTGGGACCAGAATAATGGTAATGTTTGTTAACTCTCTCTCTCTGTCTGTCTGTCTCTCTCAAATGCATGCTCTCTCTCTCTCTTTCTATAAGTGGAGGAGTTTAATAAGAGCGCGGAGACTCAGAACAGGTCCTGACAAAGACCAGAAGAACATAGCTCGATAGATACGATAGTCACTGCTGACAGTAACAGAAGACGAAGGAGCACATGCTGAGTGAGAAGCACCAGGTATTGTTTTTTTTTTTTTCTATTTTTTTAAAGGATGGATCTTAAGGATCTTTTAATTGTATTTCACAGTTGTTATAAGGCTGTCCCACAGCGGCTTCTTGCAAAGCAACATTTTCTTAGCACTATAGACTCAGTGCATGCTGCACAAGCCCGAAACCAAACAGCAGAAAAGTGGAGATAGAGTCAATATTTGAGTATTTAGCAGCCAAACTTCTAACTTCTAAAATATCCTAAAACTCAATTACAGGATACCCTAGCATAATTTGGATTGTGAATATACCAGCATAGGCTTTGCCAAATTAATTCTGAATAATATAAAATGTGAAGATCTGACAAATGTCCCAAAAATTTGTGACACTTTGTATCGCAGCTCAACTGTTTCTATGACCATATGCTTAAAGAATGCTTTAGCCAGACAACCAGGAAAACTAGGATTTATTCACAGATGTCACATTGACATCACAAGAGAAAAACACACAAGTACAGAGACAAAACAAAAAACTGACTGAAGTCCATTTAGATGCTTCTGGGTTCTGGTTTTGTGCATGCTGATTTACTAACATGTTTTTCACAGTAAGGTTGGAGTCAGGAGGAGGCCGTTATGTTGTCCGCTGGAACACGTGGCCCTTGTGGTAGTAGGTAAAAAAAATGAGCACACGTCTTCTGTTTTTCCACAGACTGAAATACCTGAGAAGAACAATGTTCTGCTTTGCCAGATCTTTTCCTGCTCTGACATGTCTACATGCCTACTGAATGGCTGAAAACTTGCAATGCTAAATAACTGTCACTGCATTGTGCAACTGTCTTCAAAGCAGAGAGACTAAACCAAATCAAAACAGAAATAGCTAAGAAAAAGTAGTGTACTACTTTTTGATGAGTTATAGTTCTATTATATTTATTTTCAGTCATATACAGAATGTAAAAAGCAACAAAAATAGGAACAGGTATGTACATATTCTGATAATTATTGTGATAACCTGATAGGCATTACATAATGAGACAAACCATTATATCTAAATGAATAAAGTTGCCTAAATAACCAAATAACACCAATAAATAGTTTGACTGAGTAAACATAATTAACTGATTTTAAATACTTATGTCTGTCCCAGGGCAGCTGTGGCTACAACTGTAGCTTGCCTCCACCAGTGTGTGAATGGGTGGATGACTGGGTGTGTAAAGCGCTTTGGGGTCCGTAGGTGGGACTAGTAAAAGCACTATACAAATACAGGCCATGTGTAACATCAGCTCTGAGAGTGAAAATTACTGAACACCCAAAATGCATAATGCAACATCTGTGACAGTCCTGTCTTCAGCTGGACAGAGAGATGGACTAGGCCACTTTCAGATAAACTGTCACACTGCACATCAGATTACATAACAAATACAACACCATACATTGTTTGCTAGATAGCACCATTTAAAAAATAAAGCCACTTGAGTATTTCATTAGAACATTTAACTGCACTGGAAAAATAGTCATGGGGCAGTTGTGCACTGTGGTGGGTGCTAATTTTTTATTTTTTTATTTTGGGAAGGTCTAATGTTAGGTGAAGGCAAGAAAGCTACAGCAACATTTAGCCCCACCCACAGTATTTCCTCTTAGCTTAAAAGTTTAATGAGTTGACAGAATTAACACCCAGAAGCAAGTAGCATCATGTACCGGTGAAATGAAAATTGTGAGGCAGGCTGTTTGGGAGTCTGCTAAAGTCGGTTACTTATAATGTGTTAACAACATATGGAAACACATAAACTATCTGAGCATTGTCCACAGTTTCTTTAACAACATGAGTGAGGAAAAAAAGGTTTTCCTCCTAACAGTAAACAGTTTTTTCCAAGAATCTTCCAGGAAGGCGTAGCAGGCAAAGGAAATGGCATGAATAAAGCAGTACATTGGTCTAAATAAAAAGGGTCTGACATTGCTTGGATTGTTATTTGATTTAGATAAAATGGATATGACCATATGTTGATAACCCGAAAGACAAAAGCCATAAGATATAAATATTTGGTTTACAATGAAAAAATAAATACTGACTAATATGTCAAAATATTTAATTTTAAAGACGTAAAAGACAAACAAAGTTAAACTGAGAGGTCTGTTGCTATAAATCCATATAACATGTCAAAGAAACAGATGTTGTTTGTCCACAATGCAAGACAAAAATGTCATTATGCAGACTGTAAATGCATTTCAGTCTATTTCTCCTGCAGTGTCTGTCCATTACTTACATTATTTCCTCATGCACAGCAATAAACATCATCTGATAGTGCCGATTAGCCACATAACAGCATTATTATTGTGTTAAGTCTAATGACATAATAGTTTTAGAAACATATCCTTTTTTTTTGGTCATTTTATACATAAGCAGCAAAAGAAAAGTAGATGCCATCAGTATGAGACACATTTTATTCTTTGGCATTAACAATGACCACAGGTTTAATTTGCTCTGTTCTGTTGATGTAAGTGGACACAGCAGAGAGTTGATATGTGGTCATGTCTGATCCTCTGCGTTGATATCTAGTCTTTCTGTAGATGGCGCTAACCTTCTTTCTAAAGTACTGCCCTGAGAAGACATACAACAAAGGGTTTAAGACACTGTTGAGAAAGGCTAGATATGCTGAGAGCTGCCTTCCTATATCCAGAGAGTCAGACCACAGCTTCTCATCCAGCACATTGACATCACAGAGAATGTCAAGAAAGGTAATTACCTGGAAGGGACCCCAGCATAGTAAAAACACCAGTGTAACAGCATACACTAGCACAGTGGCCTTTTTATCACTGGTGTGATGAAAACCAACACTTTCCCTCCTCTCAGATAAAACCTTGATTATATTTCCACTGCTGAAAACAATGACCAAAACAGGAAGAACAAAGCCCACCACATTTATCACAATCTGATGGGCCAGCTTCCAATAGCTGTCATGGGTGTAATCCAGAACGCAGGATGTGGTCTCATAGTCCTCAAAGAACTTCACCTTTCTGTGAGCTATTGTCGGTGTGCTCAGTAAGACCCCTAATATCCACAGGATGAAGCAGATCACCTTGGCGTAGAGCGTCCGTCTCAGCCAGCTGGCCTTCATGGGCTTCACAAATGCTATATAGCGATCGATGCTAATCATGACCAGAGTGAAGATGCTGGTGTAGAAATTGATGATGATTAGGGCGTTGACGATTTTGCACAAGGCCTCTCCATATGGCCAGTTGAACTCATTGAGAATATTCATTGCCCAGAAAGGAAGGCTACACAGTAGAATAAAGTCAGCCAGCGCCATGTTGCTCAGATAGATCTCTGCTACAGTCAGTCGATCTTTGTGGGCAAAAAACACCACCAGCACAAAGCTGTTAAAGAGTAGACCTGCCAGGGATATGGTGAAGATGTATGGGGGGATGATGGTGTGGATAAGCTCCCATTCTGCAGTGACTGGAGACAAGCTGCTATTTTCAGCCAACACTGTTGGCACAGTTGTGAGTTCCATTGGCTCCACTGAGTAGGAAAAAAATAAATATTCATAAACCTTCAGTACAATGTTATCATTAAAGATTAAAGCTAACCATTTAAAATCCATCATTAAAGAAATGTGCTACGTAGGAATTCAAATTTGAAGCTAAACAAGGAACTGAACATAAAACAGCTTATATAAACAATCAATGGGTGGCTAATTTTATGACTTTCTTTTATCCAGTTAAGAAAGTTCAGCTCTGGGGAGGAAGCAAACAGCCCCAGAAAAGGAAGATGATTATTTTTCTGTGTTAAAAAACACTCAAGAGCCTGGAAAAAAAAAATCACAGGTAGATCTTCTGTGTTGTGTATTGCATCTTTTCTTCTAATTTAATCAGTGGATGACTACTTTGAAAAGACTGATTGCCACATTTTATTTTGTTTTTCTTTTAAGCATCAAATACTGAAAAGGAATAAAAAAAGTTCTTACCGTATGTTTCACCAAAATGTTACTCCGATGGTCAAAGTTGTAATAACAGATAACACGTCTGAGATGGGCTTAACTGTGCTCACGGGCTCCTGGTAAAGTACACAACGAGGCTGCTATGGGCGTTTTGTATATAGTTGCATTCTTCCACACCACTAGTTGAATATATCAAGTTGTTTATCAAAGAGTCAAAATTTGGACGGTGCTCATTTATGAGCAGCAGCTAAAACTGCAGTGGAGTACGGTGGCGTAATGTAGCATGTCTTGGAGAGAAAATGTAGACTTTGGACATTCCAGTTCATAGTGTGTGAAAATACTACTATTATTATCACAGATAGTTAGAAACTAATGACATATACCAAAGAAAGCAGGGTTTTATTTAAACTTTAACAATTATTTATGTCATGATACTGTTGGATTTGGACCAAAATGCTGAACACAAAAGACAGAAATAAATAAGAAAAAACTGCTTTAATCCTGCACTCACACTATAATACAAAACAAAGGAGGCCCACGCCTAGAGAAACAGTGCAGGACCAGTCTTAATGTTATTTATCAATAATTTTCATCACAGTTTTTACCAAAGAACATTTTTTGTCTGATGAAAACAAGACAATAACTAAATAAAAATAATGCATGGGGATTAAAACTATCATAAATATGTTCTGGAGAGACGAGATCCAATCAGAACTAATTAAGTGGTGGGGAAAGGGGGGGCAAGATGGTGAGTGATCCAATCACAAAGTAATCTCCTTGGGCAATAAGATTAGATGCACACGCTTGATCTGCCACCTGGAACTATGGTAGGTGGGGTTTAGTTAGCTCCCATGCTCTCTATTTCTCATGAAAACACTACAAATTATCAACACTGGGGAGGAAGGCAACAGTAGACATAGAGACACATTTTGCATTTGATATCAAGGAAAATGAGACACTTTTAAAATCATGTAGAGCAGCTCTCACCAGTAACAGCACAACCAACTTTTACACTTAATTGTTTAGTCAACCGAACCAACTTTAGTTATGCTATAAACAGGAAACAGGAATGCAGATTTGACACAGAGAACACAGGAGGGCAGCAAAAACAAACTCAGGAAATTAGCTTTGGTTGTAAATGACAAAAAGGAGACGGACTGAGAATAAAATCATGAAGAGAAATAAGCTAGCATATAAAGCTCAAAATGGCCAGAATTAAGAACAAACTAAGCAGAAAGATACAAATGTGAAAATCTAAACTATAACTAAAAAAACAAAAAACAAAAACAGGCTGAAGGTAATAAACACTAACAGACTAACCCAAAAAAGCACAAAAAACTCAGTAGATACACAACGTTTACCTAACATCTTTCGTCATGGTCTATGGAAAAATATACTTGTGGAAAAGGGTCGAGCCACTCCTTGTAATTTTCCATCTTCTAAGAAAATTGGAAGTGCACTGATTCACTGTGCAAGCATTAATCAAATAACAGTATTTAAATAAAAAGCTTTGTTGTACAATTGTAATGAACTTGAATGTCTTTTATTTGGTATGACCACTTATAATCTTTAACACAGCCTGAAATCTTTCAGACGAGCTTACTTGTAATTTCTTTAACTAGTCTGCAGGAATAGTTCTCTAGTCTTGTTGAAAGACACTCAACGCTCTTCTTGGGATGTTAATTTTTCTGTTGTTTGTCAGCATGATCCCACACTGCTTCAGTTCAGTTATTGTGTAATCAGCTGTACCTCACTGTGTACCCTAGTCTACTCTATTCCCTGCACTATGTGGTTCCTGTCATATTTCAAAGCAAAATGACCAGGTGTACATCAGAAGTTAGTGAGGTTTATCTGTCTATATGGCTTCCCAAGGCTGCTATTGGATAAAGAAAACTATTCAACAAGAAATAGGAGAGACAGGAAAGAGAGGGGGCAAGACATGTAGCCAAGGGCCGGCCATACGGCATATGGCCGTCTGCTCACCCACTAAGCTAAACAGGTGCCAATCCACATATTTATTGATAAATATTGAGGTGTCATATCTCTTCATAAATGATACAGGGGAGGTCAGAGATTATTATTTTTGTAATTCCAAGAAAGTCTTGCTCCTTGGAAGCAAAATATAAAGAAATGACAGAGTAGCTCAAAGCTTACGAACAGTCCTGTAAAGATATGACTGATTCAGGAAATTACAGCATTACTCCCTGTCTGGACCTCTCTGTTTGCTATGATGTTGAGATATCATTAATAAAACCTTTAGTTTTTTTCATCTTTTTTCATTTGTGATTGTATTAACTGTATAAAGAGTGAAATCTTTAGACCGGTAATGATTTCCAAATGCTATGAAAACAGATTTATCAGTTTTATCCCCAGCTTGTACATCATCCAGTTCTGATATGTTCTAAATTTAAAGTTATGGTAATGACAACAATAACAAATATTAAACCAACTTCAAATCACACTGGAGTTAATGTAAACTATAATCAGTATTTTTCTTTTGTAACTTGGAAGACTTAGATGAAGGGTTATCTAATAATCAGTATGTCCGAGATTGTGTAATCCCTTTTATGGTAAAAATGACAGCAGCATACCAAAATGAAGATGAAGATCAGCTCTTTGCCAAACATTCCTTGCTTAGTCAGTTTTATATATCTGTCCTACATTTGTGACTTTGATTACTTGTAAATGCCAAATTTAACACATGGGACCGTTCAAAAAAGCAAAGCCCAGTGTTTTTATAGACAAAATGGATAAACACCAGTTTGCTTCCAGAATTAGGCTTTTTTTTTTTAATCTAGCCACCCTGCCTCTCTTTAAACAATACAGAATTATGGCAAACATTAGTCAACTGTTTCCCTCAGTTTCAACATTTTAGAAATTAGTGATATTTGGTTTCCCACTATTTAGAAATAGTGGGAAAGATTTCGTCTGTCTCTGCACAACAATTATTAAACTTCTCATCATCTCTAACATCCTCTGTTAAAGTTATTTTTACTTGTTTGTTCAGTTTAGAATGTTAAAACATATATAGAGGTAAAATATTGTAGTTTGGAGTTGTCACAGGGAGGGTGTATACTTTGGAAATAATATAGATGCAACCATTACCATGTCACAGCCTTTCCTGTAATTCATGCTTCTCACTAGGTAACTTTTGGTTTGCTTAGTTCCTGAGAGAAAAAGTTCAGCCAGTTGCCCCCATATCACATTCTCTTACAAGGTGTCAGCACTCTTTATAACCTCAAACATTATCATCTGCTTTAATCAAGGGTTTGACCAATAAAAACGTAAAGATGACTGATTCAGTGCAGTTCAAGAACAACTTTATTAAAGTTTTACTAAGCTGGTTACAGTTCAAAAAAGGTTCCTAAATTACAGGTTGCACATCGGTCCTCCCAAGAATAAGAACCAAACTAAGCTTGTAGTAAGGGTACATGCCAGAAGGACTTGTTTTAGCTCGCTGCTAAGAGAAATTCATAGTGTCTGGAAACAAGTGTGATGTGGTTGTGGACAAACATGTCAAGAATGTGAAAAGATCCGTTTTCGACATGCTTGAATTTGTTTTACAGATGTTGTCATAGAGATTTATTTTTTGCTTTTAGCATGCAAAGGATTACCGTAACACAAGTAACTTTTAACCTTTTGAGTTTACCGTCATTTGTGTGGGTGTAAGACACACAAGAGAAGCTTTAATTGATTGGAAAATGAAACACTAATTTAAAAACAAAAATTAAAAAGTAAAGCTAAGCTTCAAAGGCCAGGGCAGGCCCTCTTATTAGACCCTAATCCAACAACATAAAATATATTAATACATGAAATTCAATTCAGACACAAATATTTTTAAAAAGAGTTTACTCTTTATATGTAAATTCATTTAGATTTTTGTGCTCTCTGTTTGTTTACTTGAGATGAGATTGGCATTACCATGACCAGATGCCTCACACTGGTCTTTCCTTCTGCATTGAAGGGGTTTAAACACTTCCCTTGCCCGCTCCCTAAAGTTCTTCCCAACAATCACATACAAGAAAGGATTCAATGCACTGTTGCTGTAGCCAAGGTACGTAGCTAGCTGGTTGCCAATGTCCAGCACGTATGCCCATGTGCATCCAGAGATGACCTCATAGTGATCCAAGGTGTCAAAGAAGATCAGAATCTGGTAAGGCAGCCAGCAGAGAATGAACACAGACAAAACAATAAGCACAAGGTACGCTGCCTTCCTCTCCGCACTCCCGCTGTTGCTTCTTCTCATCTTCTGTCTCTTTAGAATGACTTTAATAATGTGGTAACTACAGAACAATGCAATTGGGACAGGAATGAGAAAGCAGACTATGTTCACAGTTATGTTGTACCGCAATCGCCACCCTTCATGGGGGTAGTCTAGGTAGCATGCATCAATGCCCAGATGGGGGAAGAACTGCACAGAGCGGAAAAGAACAGCAGGAAAACTGAGGAAGATACCAACAATCCAAATGGTTACACAAATTCCATGTGCCCAGAAAGCCTGCCTCTGCCTTCCTTGGGACAATGGTTTAGTGAGAGCCATATATCTGTCCATACTCACAACAGTAAGGAACAACACACTACAATAATAATTCATCCCAATGACAATATTGACAAGCTGGCACATGAACTCCCCAAATCTCCAGTGGAACTTGTTGATTATAGTTGATACCCAGAACGGCAGACAGGAAACCATGAGGAGATCAGCTGCTGCCAGATTGCTCAGGTAAATGTCAGCAACAGAACTTCTGCGCTTCTGAAGACAGAGGACGCAAAGCACGAAGGAGTTGCCGATTACTCCCAGAAGACAGATGATCGACATATAGGCAGGCTGCATGGTGTAAACCCACTCCCATGCATCCGTGTGGTTGCAGACAAACTCAGCTGTTGTGTTGTTCTCCATAAGTAACTCAGCTGGAGGGTCTGAGCCAACTGGTAAAGCTGTTGGATGGTGACAGTGATTCAAAAAGTAGAAAGAAAAAAAAAAGCATGTTCACAACAAATATATACTCTAGTCTAACCTTTTAGTGTATCAGCGGCGGTTTGATGCACGTGTCATTACCTTTGTCCCATGATTTCAGTTCTTAGGGAGAGGGGATAATGGATTTAATGGAGTGTGGCTAATGGATGCTTTATCAGCCAAAACACACACTACACACATGCCATCTTCAAAGTAGACCGTCTTAGCAACCAATTCAGTAATGAGCATTTCTAGTGTTGCAAAAGGAAGGCCACAAAAATATGTTGCATGTTAAAAGTACAGTCAGTCATTTTTGTGGGATTATTTAGTAAAATAAAAAGAATATTGTATAAATATACAATGATTAGTGTGTAATTACATCCAACACCAAACTGAAAGTATTCATCAATTAAGAATAAAAGCCAAAGCCACTTGCATCTTAATGAAATGTCATCCACTTCACCTTGAGCCTTATCTCCTGAACTGAAGTTAGCGCTACAACACTTAAAAAACACACATAGTAATATTTTTATTTTTTATTTTTTTTGCCTGTCCCGTTTGGCTCTTTTGCCATCAGA